GGATATTTTCTTTCAGGACATCAACTGATCGCGGAGTGGTGTCGTACACTTTACTCTTGAGGTAGCCCCATAAAAAGAAGTCCATTGGGGTCAAATCTGGACTACGTGGTGGCCAGGAAATGTCTCCTCTTCGAGAAATTACTTTGCTGGGAAAAAGTTGACAGACGACGGGCATAGAAGTGTTGGAGGTGTGGGCAGTTTCTCCGTCCTGTTGAAACCAGGTCTGCGTATTATAGCCTGGAAAATTCTGCAACGCTGGTGTCAAAAACTCTTCTATCATTGCTACATACCGCTCCGAAGTAACAGTTAATGCGCGACCCCTGTCGTCCTCAAAAAAATAAGGGCCTACGATGCCATGCGCTGACATAGCAGCCCAAACTGTAACTTTAGGGCTGTGTAAGGGCTTCTGATGCTTACGCCTTGGATTTTCGGGGCTCCAATAACGGCAGTTTTATTTATTTACATGTCCGTTTAAATGGAAGTGAGCCTCGTCCGAGAACAACACATTATTGAGCGAAGAAAATCGATTCAACATTTCATTCGCAAAGTTTAGTCTCTGAATAGCGTCATTATCTTTTAATTCCTGCACTAACTGAATTTTGTAAGCGTGCAAACGTAAATCTTTCCTTAAAATCCGCTGTAAAGATGTTCTGGGTACGTTTAGTGCACTGGAACGCTTACGAGTAGACTGGGTAGGATTTTGACGAACAGACTGTGCCACAATGTTGATGTTTTCTTCAATACGAGTTGTCCTTGGTCGACCCCACCGCTGTTTATCTAACGTCGAACCAGTCTCTTCGAACTTAGCAACCCAGTTCTTAATCGTTTGAGCTGTTGGACACTTTGTAAAATTGTGTAAATTGTGGTATTCTCGATATTTACGCCGCGCAATGGTTACCGAATCATTATTTTGATAAAACGCGCGCACACAAAAAGCACGATCCGCTCCAGTGAAACACTCCATGGTGACTGAATTCCCAGACACTGAAGATACTGCCCCCACCTCGCCCGCGCCGCTCACGCTCACCCGTTAAATTTTATTCAAATTTGAAATTTCAAAGGACTTATGGACCACCCTGTATAAACTGTCGACCAAAATATATATAATTAAGAAGCATTATGTACCGAGCAACAATACTCAATAGCTCTGTTTTAAACATTGTGTTTAAAAATGGTATGTTTTGATTTGTCAACCAGTCTTGGATATTTTTTTTTTGTCCATGCATTGTTGGGCACTTTGTTCAATATCATGCCGTGATAAGGGGCGTTATCCAGTATAATCATAGATGGACTCTCCAATTTTTCTAATAACTGATGTTGAAACCATTTCAAAAAATTGTCCTGGTTCATCTCTCCATGGTAATCGCTCAATTTTGTTTTCGAAGAAAATATCGCTTCACTACCCTCAATAAACCCATTTTCATTTCCAGCATGTAATATAATGTATCTAAAATATATTAGTTTTAAATTTTATAGTGCAAATTGTGTAAAAGTACATACCTTTTACCATCTGTTTTAATAGGTTTCACGCTTTTTTGGTTTCCATTTTGCCAAGAGCGACCTATGGTCCCATTTTGAAATATCCAAGTTTCATCGAGGAAGACAAACTGGTATAAGGCCTCAACCTTGGCTTGATTGTATTGCCTTAGAAATTCCACCCTTTTCAAAGCTATACTTGGTAGTTCCATGAGCCCTCGTCGCGGATTGTCCTTAAGCCACTTAAATCCAAGATCTCTAAGCAACCGCCTTAAAGACGTGGCACTACCATCAAATAATGCCCTATCTCTTAATCGAGACCATAAAGTTTGTATCGTAACTTGTTCTTCTGAAACCATGTGTAATGTGACATTATAATTTAGTTAACAAATTAATGCAAATTTCTGATAAGTTATTATAATAAGATCTTACTTTTGTGATACATATTATAGATCACTTCTCGAATGGCACTTGTATCCAATGTCGCTGTGTTGGTTACACGTTTAATATAACTCCGCTTTTTCTTGGGCGATTCTAAATTTGCATCGCTTTTCACACCCTCGGAAATACGACTAACTGTCCTTAAACTAATTTTTAAAGCAGCAGCAACACGCTACAAAAAATGAAATAAAATTTCACTATTATTAATATACATTACATATAATTATTAGTAACCTACCTCTTGAACAGCATTTAAAGGCAACAAAGGCCCGTTGTTGTCCCTTTCTTGCTCAAAGTAGTGCATTAACGAGGCCACGAGTTCCTTACACCGACTATTTAACTGTTTGGGCATCTTTATATACCAAAATTGCCTTTATCTACTCGTAAAATGAATAATTTTGTTTTGAAACAAACAGTTGTTGATTTACAGTATGCGGGGCCAAAGGATTTATAAAGATTTGAAATGCCACAAATTGATTCAGTGTCAAAATTAATACAAATGTCAGTTCCCAGTTTAAATAAGTTTCAAGGTGACAATGTGTCAACGCTGCGAAATCGGTTTAGTGCGTTTACATGTCGATAAGTGATTGGAGCGTTTGCAAAACATTTTATTTCGCATAATGCGTCTAAATTTATCAGAAAGCAACTTATGTGATATTTTAATAACAATGTTTATATGACTATTAACCATAATAAGAGAGTAATGACCATTTTACAATTTATATATCACATTAATATGAAACTGCAGTAGAGCAATTGTTTGTGATAGAAACCTAGGCATTAGGTCGGGGAATTTTTATCGTGATGACGTGTACGCCACTTTGTTTGGCGTTGACTATATCAAGAGACGTCTAGTACACATCCTTCATAGACATTCTGTAACACGTGAACCAGGAAAAAACATTTCGTAACGGTAAAATTCATGCGTCTGTCATCTTCCCTTCTCTAATTTCCATTCCAATGCGTGTAGGCCTGAAATTTATACAATTTATATAAAGGCATAAGAAATTTTATGAGCCAGTTGAGCTGTTTAGTTCTCTCGCCGAGAAAATAATTAAAAATTACATGTGGGCATTTATATACATGTATAATTTGACTTCTTTATGGCCGTTTGAGTAGAGTATTTTTACCGGGCCCCGTGTGGAGTTTAATATAGCTTTAAACTATGTTGAAAACATACTTAAAGTCCTCGGATGATTCATATCGCTGGATATTTCAACTTCAATAATCATTTTTTACATTAATTTAATATTCTGACATGGATTCCAAGTTTGTTATAATTTATGTTTGTCTTTTAAGCTTTCATCGTGGAATGGCCAGCTAAGTAGTAAGCTGATTGGTTGTTAATTAGTTTTTCTGTAAGACCACACAGAACCAAATAACAACTGTCCCATCAAACCTTTTAGAAAGGTATGCAGGTCAAATTGTAGTTAGGCGCAGGTAATTTATATCTTTGATCAACACGAGAATTACGAACAGTTTATAGTAGGGCACTACCAGCGCCACCTTCAACTAACGAGCCATGAAGAGAAAAAGGCAACACCGCATCATGGCATTTTGGGGTCCGGCCGTCCAGCTGGTGTGTGCCGTTATTAAGGCGCGTTTTCACGGGTCGATCTGAGTCGAACAATTTGTGTCGAACATTGAATCGAAAGCAAAGTGGTGTCGTTTTTATTTTTGGTCAACATACATCGCCTATCGTGTAAACCTTTTTGCTTTCAACTCAGATCGAACCATGGTCGAATAACCCAGGTGGTTCAACTTAGATCGACCCGTGAAAACGCGCTTTTACAGAAACTTCGATTCGAGCATTTTTTTGATGAATCTCAAATTTACGAGTACAAAGTACAAAACAATTGCACTAAACATAAGTTCAAAATCGAAATTACAGAATGTGAATACTCTATGCGAACCCTAGAGAGGGAAATTTACAAGAATACTAATTATGTAGTGCTTCTTATAACTAAGTTGTTTGCTGGCAGACGTATACAGGAGTAGAATCGTACTTGAGATGTATAAATGAGGTATTGCATTACCACACCAAGTTACCAATTTATATCGGGAGGTTTTGCCAAGAGCCATATATCTGTGGTACTAAGGCAAAACCCAATATGTCAAAAAATATTGATTTTTTGTTTTTAATGTCAATATGTACACCAAATGACGAAGTATTCTATGGCAAGACCCGATATAATTTATAAAATTTCCGTAACACTCTAAATTAATGTTATTTTTTTAAGGAGGAGCTTAAAATTTAAAAAAAAATTGGAATTACTAAAAAAATTATATTCAGAATAAAGATAAGAAATAAATAAAATACATAACTGGAAACAAAACAAAAAACAGTGTACAAACTAAAAACAACGATAACTGAAAATTAAATAATAAGAGAAAATGAAATAATTGTAACAAAATAATAACTAAAAGGATATTAAAAAAGATATTGCACATTTTATATATCATTCACACATTGAAGGTGCTCAGCTTTCTCCGCTTTTGCAAATCAAAGCTTGTGACTGGGGATTCAGTTACACTATTACGGTTGGCCCGAGAAGTAGATAACAATTGTGAGTGAAGAATATCTATTTTTCTTATTTTGAATTTGTTTGAGCTGGTCAATTAAAACTTCTAGATTTTTAAAATGAGGGAAAGGTACTGACACATGATTTATTACTCTAACAGCATGTTCTAGATTCTCAATCCCTTTGTGAATATGACTATAGGCTAAATTTATATTTTCTAGTGTTTCTGTATTATCAAAATAAAAACTATACCTACTCAGTAAGTTTTCTAATTGAGACCATCTAGAGAGCTTCAAGTCAAATGGGAGCACCCATTTCAAATCATTACATGAGAGCGGATCCCCTTTATTAAATACCTTAGTTTCTACTGAACTGTCTATTATAATTTGCGTATTCAAAACTAAAATTTCACTGATTGTTTCTAATTTATAAAAATAAATTTTGTCATTAGTCTTCTTCACCAACCACTGTTCAGGGATTTTAATCATTTTAGAATAGTTTTCCAATAAATCTGAGAATCCTGTAATTTTGTCTTTTTCCTGAAATTCTGAAACCAAATTCTCATGCCTTTGAAGGATCTTGTCTGATGGCAGGATCTGTTCTACTAGAAACTTGACGCTTACTTAGATAAGATGGCACATTTGGAAAGACTGATGGAACAGCACCTTCTGAAAGTTTTGGACGACTCAGTGTGACTGTGTTAGCTGATCCATCCTGCAGAACATAAGTTTCCGTACGGACAATTTCTGCTTGTTGAAAATGTGCATCACAAACAACAGAATCTTTAGAAGGCGACCAGTCCTTTCTTGGTATTGAAGCTAGCCACTTACTTTTCAACTCCTCATTTTTTGGAAATCGAAACACTGACCTGTAGGGTGTCGATCTCAATTCTGCCTCGTAGTTTCCCTTGCAGCCTGGTACACAGCAACGCTTAGGCATATTAATTAAAAGAAAAGATGTACCCACTCGAATCTACACACTATACAGACGTTTCTAACAAGCACCGATTCACACACATTTTAAACACATCAAAGCACGATTTTATACTACCTAAAATAAATACTTTCTGCACGGTTTGAAGAGCAAAACTAAGTAGATTACTCTGGTTTGTATGAATTGCACTGTTCCCAGAGATTTACAACAAAATTGCACCAAAAAGTCGGAGGTTAGGAATATAAACAAACGAAAAGCCCGGCAAACACCTGTCTGTGGAAGACCCCAAAGCTGCGTTGCCATATCTACTGTTCATGGCTCGTTAGTTGAAGGTGGCGCTGGCACTACTTTTAAAAATAACCGTGGTCCTCCTAATCCGATTTTTTAACTGCCTAAGGTTAGTAGAACTGGGTAAAGCCTCCTTTTGTAAATTGTTCCACAATATCGGCACCCTAGGGACAAGGCGGTTGTATCGACAAGTTGTACGAAGTTCGACACGGTTAGGAAGGCCGAAGTCAGGCGACCATGTCTGTCTAGCACATCCTGCGGCAGCATCATGGGGGAACAAATCCCGTTGGTGTAGTTGTAGAACAAATGTGAGCAGTACTCGAGGCTTATCTGGACCTTGTATACATTGAGGAGGTGACCATATGGCTATCTTCACTCCGACCAGCCGAAATGAATGGCTCTTCAGCAGTACTTGCCCATCCATCAAAACCGGATGAGTACTACGCCGCAACTTAGCACGAGCTGTCGGCCTTCTCCATTGATCGTATTTTCGGGTATTGTACAATTTTATATTGAAGATTGATAACAGGACAACTCATTTGCACGCCCATGTCAAGTAAGTTGTCACTCTGACAAATATGATTGAAGGGCACTCATACGTAACAACAAAGTTTTCGAGACGGAGACACAACTAAAAAACGTATGTCTTTGAGCTTACCGAACAAACGTTCACAGGGATACTGGTAGTCTTATTTAGACCCGCCAAGAACGGTGAGTGCAACTATAGTTTTAGGGCCAATTTCACCAACAACAGTCCATTATTCTCCACCTATAGGGTAACAGACCGTCAAATACAACGAATGAGCTTCAAGTTCCAATCAACAAATTTTAGCAACCAATAGTTATGAAATGTTGAAAACAAAATACTGTCAACGTATGAGATGGCAACTTGGCTTTGAAACATTACCAGCTTATTGAATATTAAGAAATTACATATAATTCAGTCAAAATTTAGAGAAATGTTTGATTTTTGAATTAAATTCATGCTTTAATTACTATTGTTGATTTTTTATTCATGTTTATATTATTTTCTTCAATTGATATGCAATACTGGGTGTTTTTTCCTATAAACCTCTTGCAGATATCCATTAAGCACCTACTTGATGACAGGCTCTACCAAAAGATATGGCTCGTTTCCAAACATTCATTCATTTACTTGCCGTTCATCAGAACCATTAGGGCACCTTAGATTGATATTCCCACAAAACCATTCAGGTTTTTTGATATACATACATTCATAAAGTTGAATATTTTTCGTTATTCAGGAACTGAACAAACATCCACACTATATTCACAGCGATTAAGAAATTCCCAAATATATGCCTTAAAGCTACCAGCAAACCTAAAACCTGCAAAAAAACTACAAATTTGCCTTATTTTTCTTTCTTCACGAGTACACATCCTAAGTTATATTTATATTAGACATTATTTGAATACAGCTGATTATTGCATTTCAAGGAGTGACACATGTGTGGGATCTGTCAACTCTTGGTACCAGTCACAAAACATATACACTGAAGGTTTAATTCCATGCTATTCAATGACAACACGGTGACTTGTGTGGTTGTCAGCGGCCATTTTGTGAGGGTGCGACAGGGTTGCCAGATTGTGCATTAATATCCCGTTTCACCCTCCTGGTCCCAGTGGAGTAAGTTCTGCTAACTGTTGAAATATGCTCTACTATGCTTTATAAGACTATGCGTGACATTTTTCCCAAAATCATTACACAACACTTGAAAAAATGCAAAGGAAAATTTAAAATTATTTCCATGACGCCGCAAAATAGCTCCGTCGGTACCTTGGGTTATACATCTTGACAGTAGGTATGTTCCATACGATCCTATATTTATAAGTATCAATACATTTCACGAATACCGTCATCTTTCGATCCGGACTGTGTCAGAAAGAGTGACTGCGATTTGGCTGCGACATTACCCTGCCAAATCAGACATATCTTTAATCATTTTCAAAGAAATTGAACAAAATCTTCAAATTTGTGATGTTAGCGAGTTTCACTTCATACGTTGTTACCAGACATGCCCAAATCATCAGTTGCTGCCATGATATTCATCCCGACCACTGCATCCCCACGGCTAGGCGACCTGTATGTTAAATTAGTATTGATAGGGCAGCGGGTTATGCTATAAATCATATGTCACAGTGTTTGTGCACTGATTGCAACGGTTAGATGATACCAAAAATATTTTCATAAATAGGAGATCTTCCCCATTCCGGATCGAGCAATCTATCAGTAATGCTTGTAATCATGATACCTAGTAAATTTTCACGAAAAAAATTCAAAACCAGCAAATGTAAAAGATTCATTTTGCACCCTCCACCACGGAACGTGATCGTCGTTAGACTTGGCAACACTGCGAGTGACAAATAGATGTCCCCGCCAGTCAAAAAAAGACAAACAATAAACAATACTAGTTTTTATGATGTTTTGACTTAAAATACATTATTTGTGAAACATTTTCATAATTTTTTGTCTATGTCCATAGTAATTGCATTATGCATCAGGGAGATGTAGGGTTTGAGACGTCTTACACATATTATCTGGGTTTTAGGATGGAGAGGACATAATGTTTTTATTGCTTTGAAGAAATTCATTAATCCATAAATTAATAAATGATTACTATTTGGACTTAAAGGAAGATGAGGAATTGGATGGAATGTATTTTATATTCTATTTTGTTGCAAAATACAGACAAATCCACACTATTCAACAGGTATGTAATGATAACTTTCGGTACATTGAAGTTGGTAAATTCGAGAGTGCCATGCATTGACAAACGTCCAAATCTGCTGCCAAATTTAGCAGCTAGAAAATCGCCCTATTATTTGCCGCATTCTCATTCGCTAAGGGGGATAACGGATTGTTAAATGTAAACCTATAATATATATCAAAATACATGAAAGTTGTCCTGTTTTTTCTGTACAAAAGCATCATGTTGGAATCAAAAAGTGGTCTTGTCTATAATACAGTCGAATTTTCACGATTTTATTCAATATTTCGATAGAAATCACGAATTTTGAGAGACCTTTGACAGCTTCTGTCAAATTGCATTTCGATAAGGAATATCTCAAGACAACGAGAGCAAATATCGACACATACGACACACCGCTTTCATAGCGTATCACTTTAAGCCCAAAAACAACGTATTTAGTTTTACTGTAGTATTTATGAAAACCAAAGCTTATTCATGGCATCCGCATATTAGATGCATCGAGAAACATTACTCCGCTGCTGCCTCTCAGCAAGTGAAAAGGAACATAAATATCTGTGAAACCGCGATTTCGTTCCGCTATTGTGTTTGCGTCTACCCTCATTTATAATGAGTTTCAATCTCCTTTACGGCTGTCAAGTAGGCTGCACCTATTTGACTGAATGGAAGCGCGATAAGGCTTCGGCTTTGTATGCGCTTCGTCTGAAAAGCGATACACGCTGTCACTTTATCGACACCTGTTTGCAACGTTTCGTGCTTCCATGTGCCTTCAATTAGCCACGTTGACAGCCAGCGGTATTGTCAAGCGAATCATAAAGGAAGATAAAATTAGTCGCGAGTATTGTTGTTCTTTCGCTTTGAGGAAAAATGCGCGGATGTATCGCGACTAATGATCTGAAATGGAAGCTTTGTTAGAGCATACGTTGGAAATGAGACACTTTGCTATTTAGAGTGCTTTTGAAAAAAATGGTTGTAAATGAGTTGATGGTGTATAATCTTCCTACGCCATCATACCATTCCAAATTTGATATTCTCTACATGGAGAAAATGGATTTTAATCCTAGAACCGTACCTTGGGATACAAATCGAAACCTCCGCGCCACCGTGTGCACCTAAATTGCGGATGTATTTTGACAGCGTGTAGCTGAGCGAGTTTAAGTGAACTCGGTCTTTTACGCGGAGGTGCCGAAATGAAAAAAAAAATCGGTGCGATCCAGATGGCGAGTGGCCGTGATACGTTGCTTATGGAGCACACCAGAAACACAGGGATATTTCTTATTGGGTCACAGCTGGACTCCAGAGTAATTTTTATTTAATTATATTACGGGTACAGTTCTAATGTCGGTAACAAGGATTGCACTTAGCTGTTTTTCAGGTATCATGTAGCTTACACTTTCTTTTTGCGATTGTGTGTTGGTAAAAATTGAAGTTCACGAATTGGAATAAACCTATTGTATTTTCCGCACTTCCCCATTTTTACACCTCTCTTCCTTCTTTTCTTTCTTTTTTCCTTCTTTCTTTCGGGCATTGTCTCGTATTTGTGCAAACAGACCTGACATACCTATGGACCCACAATATTTAACCAAGAGCAAAGATCTGACAGACAATAATGAATGGGAGCAACAAACTTGTGTCACTCTAGAAACTTATTACGTTTGAACTTTAGAGGGCTAGTTTTGTCACATCCGCTTTGAAGGAAAAGGTTAAAGTACTTGTAGAAACAAGTGTCGAAATTAAAACTTTCAAGTCGAGTGTAATAATTATTTTCACGTTATCTGTACTTTTCTATATTTCTCAGATAAACAAAGTGGCGCATCACTCATCTGAAAGATGTACAATAATACGGGCCCCTTCCCACTTCAGTTGGCCCAACTATTGAAATCTTAGTTTTTTCTTATCAAACACAAATAATAAAAATGTAGTAGGGTGTTATAGGTTTAAAATATTAACAATGAATATTTTGATAATATATAGTAGAAAACACCAACT